CAGCCCATATATAAACATGCGATTTGGGAACGGCTTCTAGAAAGAGAATCGCTGTGTCAAATATATTTCTTTCTTTTTTTTTTTTTTTTTTTTTTTTTTTTTTTTTTTTTTTTTTTTTTTTTTTTTTTTTTTTTTTTTTTTTTTTTTTTTTTTTTTTTTTTTTTTTAACAATCTTTATAGCTAAACAATATTTTAAAACCTGTTTTGATGATGATGCGAGTTATTTGTTTGTTTTAGGATTGAGAGGAGTTTGTTTGGTAGGAATGGGGCAGAGGAAGAGAGAGAGAATCTTAAGCAGGCTCCACCCTTAGCATGGAGCCTGACGCTGGCTCACGCCATGACCCTGGAGATCATGACTGACCTGAGCTGGAATCGAGCCTGACTTGCACCGATTGAGCCACCCAGGCACCCCAAACCAGTTATTTTTTCCCAAACATAAGAGGCGGTCTAGCAAAGTCCGTCCATTCATTGATTCAGCTGTACTTCCTGTGCCAGCTGTGCCTGCAGTGCAGCTCTGGATACAGCAGAAATGACCTCTTTCCTTATGGAGATGATAACTTATGAAACAGGCCCCGCCTTCCTACCTGCTGCCCTTGCTTCTGATCCTTGTGAAACAGGAGAAGGACAGAGGAGTGTTTGCATTAGAAGAGACTGCATGGGGAAAAGCCCCTTTGAGCTGTCGGAGGCAGCCCCCCACCTGTCAGAGGACGCCTCCTGTAAACACCATTCAGGCAGCCTGAAGTCCCAGGGCTGCCGGGAGGGGCCGCCCCACCCTCCTGGGTGGGCCCCGTCTTGGGGGGCAGACGTGGGGCAGAAGCGGAAGTAGCCGCCATCCAAGAGGCTGGCTGGCTCATGCCTAAGGGAGGGCCTTGGAGACCAGCTGTGTGTCGTTGCAAAACTGTGGTGGTTTCTGCTTTTCCTCTTTCTTCTCAGGCGGGGAATGGAGACCCTGGTGGGGGAGTGGCTCCTGCCTCCAGCTCCAGGGAGCCTCACGCTGGGTCTGAGAGGCAGACACTGTTCCCAAAAGATTTCCTAGGAAATCTGTGCTGGCCATTGTTGGTGTTTGCAGGGACCCCATAGGGAGGAGGTAAGGCAGGCCCCCCCCGTTCTTACCCAGGAGCCCGGAGAGGTGGCGACTTGTCCTGGCCTCCCAGGTAGTCCTCAGCAGAGCCAGGTTCTCCTGTGGGTTTCCTGGTTTTGAACCTCACTCTGCCACAGCCGTTGGTCCCTCTGGGCCTGTCATCAGCTGACGGAGCACCTGCCATCTACTTAGCCTTGACCGGGCTCAGAGACCAGCTTTCCTGACCATTCGCAGGACCCTCAGCCAGGCTCCAGTCTAAGATTCTTGAGTCTGCTGGCTCACGTGCCCCATGGACAGGGCATTTACACAGCGCTGGGCTTGGAGCTGAGTGCCTCATGTGTGTCATTGAATCCTCGTGGCAACCCTACAGAGTAGTTCTACGGAATCACCACCCCTGTATCACAGACAGGGAAACGGAGGGTCAGAGGTGTACTAACTGTCCTGACCCCTGCCTGTCTCCTGCCTTCTCTGCTGCCACCTCCTCTCCCTCTAGCCACTCTGCCTTGCCCCTTCCAGGCCCTTCAGCCCATTTGTCATCCCTGTCTGTAAATCTCTTCCCTCAGATCTTGACTTCCTGTCTAAAAGAATCGTCCGTCCGCCTCTCACCTGCCGTGGGGCTTGTGGAGGGCCTGTTTTTACTGCTAGAGTAGCAAGCCACACCAGGGTGAAGATTTTGGTTCACTCCTGCACCTAGAACGTAATAGATGTTCAATTAATATGTGTTGAATGAATGGATGCCTGGCACATAATAGATGTTCAGTTAATATTCACTCCTTCCTTCCCTGTTTGTGCTCTCTCCCGCTCACTATCTGTCTCTCTCTCTCTCTCTCTCTCTCTCTCTCTCTCTCTCACTTCTCTGACCGTAGACTGCCTATCCCATCTTTCCACCCTTTACACAGTTAGGAATATGTACTTACTGGTGTTTGTCCGGTTGTCCTCTCCTTCCACCACTAAACTTTGAGCTGCCGAGGGCAAGGACTTAGTTTGCTCCTGGCTGATGTCTGCCTCCAGATGGCACCCTGATGAATAGGTGAATGAACCAATGAAAAAGAAGAGCCCAGGGGCACCTGGGTGGCTCAGTCGGTTAAGCGTCTGACTTC